CGATCTACGCTGTATTAGTTGAGTTAAAGCGCAACCCTGAGTGGTGGCTCACCTATAAGAAATCGCTCTTGACCGATGTGATTCACTCTTGCTGGTTTAATTTTAGATCGGTTCTCACTTCTCGGAATGTCACTTCACTAAGGCTGTACTGAGGTTGATGCATAAGATGTAGTCATAAACATATCTAGCATCTCATTCATCCCATACAATTCTTGTTCTAAGTACCGAGATAAGGGAACTTAGTAACCTAGTCAGCAGGATGTCATAAAACCACGAAAATCTAACACGGGTCCAAGCATATAGGCTCATGGCAACGTAAGAAGAAGGTCTTGTGTATTTCAATTCTAAACAAAGAAGACTAATTCTAAAAAGAGGGTGGCCTGTAAAAGATTCTTGGAATATAAAGCTTTGACAATCTGAACCCAGATTTTCTGACAGCAAGAGACAATGGAAGTTCAACAGGCATTACGTGATCTTATTGATACTGTTCAGCTACTGCAGCGGAAGGCTACTCTTGCAGAGCGTCCACTTCTTCGACTCACCATGGAACTTCTGGAGTTGTGCGCCTCCACTGAACCTCAGGCTTGCATGATAGAATTACTGCAAGTCGAAGTTGGTCAGCAGAAGCGCTGGGTCATGGACTATCTAAACCAGCAGAAAGGCAACGAGCAAATGACTCGACTGGCTGATGACTTCGCAAAACCGTCAGAGGATCACGAAAGACTGCTTCTTAGATACTGTCAAGAGACTTGGGAGGGTGCCAGAGCCATAGCACTGGTGTTGGATGTTCCTCTACTGCGACCAACGTGGAAAGTCATGCACCATAGGGAAGCATTTTCATCTCCGAAAGGACGTAGGTCTCACAGAAGAACGGATAGTAGCTCCAATTCGATGTCATCAGAGGATCCAAAAGGTCATTTTTGAAGAATAATTCCTAGCTCTGGAACGAATCAATCAACAGTACCGATATTACTAGGAATTCATCGTTGATTTTACGATTTTCGCGCTAAACTATTCCGGACAACGGCAAGCAGGTTCTCGCAAATGGCAGATGACTTATGAAACGTATTCTAAACCTGGCCCTCGCTATGTCTTGACGAAGGTGGACAGGGAATCATGCTCGATTGGCCAGCTGTGTTTATTCATGTCGACATATCCAGCGGGCTATTTGCAGAAATACAGTAAGCGCTAGCGCTGAAAAGCATCTGACTAGATTAGACGCCTTTCTTACGTTCTGTCCGATCTTACATTACCAGGAGCGTTATCATCACAGAGCATA